GAAATATGAGATCAGGAGGCAATGCCGTTTCCCACTTACATGGCACCTGACAGGTACCACAACTCAGACTGCAAGCGCCGTCCGTCCAAATCATTTCGGGGTTTGGGGGGATGATTTGTGGGGCCCGGTAGCCATCGTTGAGCTCATAGATCAGCACAACGGATGCTCCCGAGCAGCAAGGAAGCAAACGGTCTCAAAAAAACAAACATCTTTCCTCTTCCCGAGTCGGAATCCTTTCAGGTACAAACGCTCAACATGCAAGCCGATGTCAGCAACCGTTGCCTAAACCTCATGCAAAGACCGCTGGACTAAACCTCATGCAAGCACTTGTTGCATCAACCTCACCAAGAGATGCCAATCTTGGGGACTCCTCTTGTTGTGGCCAGGCGTCCTTTGCGCAAATCGATGGCACTGGTAAGTAATGAGAAACCAAACTGAATCGTTCCAAGAAGCGCTCTAAGGGACACCTGAAGCAACTTGAACTGGAACCACCCTCTGTCTCACAAACAAGACTTCCCTCTGAGTAGCTGGCGGCGTTAGCTTGTTAGCTTCAGGCGATTCCCCCTTCTCCCCCAGAAGAGTTATCACTCGCCCTGTCTGTTTGGAAGGGATTCTACAGAAGTGACCCCAAACCCCACTCTTTCCAGGAAACCTAACCCGGCCATCCCGGCGTTGGTTTTTCCGGGCCTCGAGGCGCCGCAGAGTGGCCGCGGCTTTCCGCGGCTCCGCCTGGGCATCCACCAGCGCGCAGCAGGCCTTCACGCCTTCGGAGAAGGAAGGGACCCTTTCCTTGCAACCTCCATTTTAACAGTCGTGCAAACAAACGGCTTGAGGTCTTGGGGTTCGCAACCCAAGGGTCGAACTCCAACGCTCTAATCGGAAAAGGGGCATGTCGAACATCTCCTATTTGCCAGCCCGTCCTTAAACGGCAGGCGAGTGCAAGAGATCACCAAGAACCTATGCCCGGAAAGGCCCTGTTTGTGATCATGGCCTGCCCAAAAGGCTTCCAGCGGACAAAAACTGGTTGAAGACCAGCGCACAAGCAAACACCAGGGACCCCATGACATGGAGAGTCCTCGTTGGGTGAAGTACAAAGCATTGGATGGACAACCAGATTGATTCGTGAGGCTTGGAGTCACTCGGCGTGCCCAGCCAGTCAGCCCGCCTGGCTGGATGCCGCACGCCAGCATCCTCTGGAACCACTCGCTGGCTTCCTGCATTGCGAAGGTCCCAAGAAAAGGAAGTTGAATTCCCACCCCTCCAACCCTCCAACCCTCCAACCCCAGCGACCAGCCAATTGTTGCAGCCTCGCCTCACCAACCTGCCAACACCCGGCAACACCCGGCAACACCCGGCAACACCCGGCAACACCCGGCAACCCCCGAAACAACCCCCACCGAAAGGCGCGCCTCGGCCCGGCCTCCGGCGGCCAAGGCCGCCAGCAGCGCCTCGAAGGCAGGCGCCTGCACGAGGCGGCCCTGGGCCAGGGCCTCCAGGAGCTGCGCCGAGGCCTCTCGCTTCGGCCCCCGGGACTTCGGCCCCGACTTCGGCCGGTGCGCTCCGGAAAGGTCCCGGAAAGTGGCAGGCAGGTCGACCGGGTAACTTCATGTAACTCCTACGTTAACCCCCAAGTGGCGGAACAGGGCTTCAGGAGACTGGCAGCTTGAAGCACCCGCATGGGCACTTGGAGGAAGCGGTGGTGTGCTCCCCAAACTTAAGAACACCAATAGAGTGACAGCGGGATTGACTTCCCTGAATGCTGCGGAACAGAACTGTCAAACACGTGGCTGATATTCTGTAAGATGTCTCTCTCTGCAGGAATTCCGAGTGTTCCAGCATGATTGTCTCGGCAGTCAAACTACCCATGCCGGCGAGAATCGAAACGCCTGCTTTTCGAGGGTACCAATCTTGCGGCCAAGGGAAACCACATTCGGAAACCGAAGCCCATGGGGGGTGCTGTCTCCAGGTTAGTTCCAAGTGAAATGGTAAAACATGGATCTGAGGGCATGGAGGACGGGGATCCTGGTGCCTCCTGTCACTGTTGCACCAAATAACCTCAAACCCGCAAGACCCTTCGCTGATTTTGCGCCCAAGCAGTGTCAAGCTGCAACTTACGGCAGCGATTGTTCAACGTCCGAGCGAGACTTCCTCACACATTAGTCCATTCTCCGAGGCCCACATGTGATTAGCACGTGCACTTGACTCCGGAGATCTTGTCATGGAAGTTGTCGAACTGGTTCATGTTCTTCACCACCGGATTGGATTTTGAAGTGGCATCGATCGTCTTTAAAGGCGAGGAATCAGTGCAGTCGTGGCTGTCATGCAGCTCCAGCCTGCCAAAGGCAAGAAGGCACAAGCTGGAATAATGTGGGCGTTCTTCGCAGCTGTCAGCCCACCATGTCGGTAATCTCCAAACTTAATAAGTTTCAAAACCAAATAGTTGTGTATTGTATACACGTGTATACGTATACACACTTGAGTGCGAGTACTTGGTCCTGTAAAATTATGCTCAGTGTTGCGGTTTACTTTGTTCCCCTGGACTTAGCCCCTCTGTCAAATCTGCTGCGCTCTAGCGCAGAAACCAAAGCAATGAAAGCAATGAATGATTCTTGTTGCAGCACATGTGCGGATGGTAGATCATCCCAAGCTCCGGACGAGTCAAGATATTGGAGGCAAACCTAGGGCAACTCCGCCTTGGAAGAGGTGTGGGAAACAAGGCGCGCAAGAATGCAAGCCTTCGAATTGCTTTGCCGCGCGACCTTTCGTCAACGTCAAGCCAGTTTTGACTAAAACCGGCTCGCATTTCGAGAGCCACTCCGAAGGCGTAACGCGCCGCGTCTTCACCCACTTTGGCATGTTCATCTTCGTTCACTGCCCCCTGCCACTGAATTCGCCTGACATCTTGTTGAGGAAGAATGCGTTGCCAAAAACTCGGTCGATGTTTCAACTCTCGCTTCAGACTAAACTCGCGGACCCCACAACGCAAACTCCAATTTTGAGTTTTAACTTTTGTCGTCGCCAGCATGTTCGTCTTCGCTCAGGATTGGTTGTCATGGGTGGTTTGTCTTCCACCGCCTAAAGGCAGCGTTGGGGATGTCCCGATGACCGCAGCACATGTTTTCATTCAACACAGAAAACACATCTGCGCATGCGAATGAGACTTCTGCCTGAGCTTGACAATGTTGACTAGTGGAGCTTAAATAGAAGATCCAACTGCCAAAAGTGCAAAACTACGCCGGCGACACTGGCAAAAAGAGCACTACTTAGTATTCAACACCAAACCTTCATTTGCTTAAGCCCCCTTGGAAAAAAAACATCCAGTAGTCATTGCTTCCCTTTAAAACCAACAGGGGAAAGTGGAAATATTATTAAGCAAATGGAAGTAAAGTTGCGTTACTCTGTGTGTGTGTGTGCGTGTGTGCCATCCCTAAGCAGTAGCCATCTACAGCCAAGCAGCTTGCAGCCAGGAGCAGCGCCCATGAGCCCCGAAGAGAACATGTTGTTGAAGGCGCCGCTGTTATAGGCCTCCGCATCTGCCAGTACAATTCTTTTGAAACCATCAACAAAGGGGTCCCCCCTATTTTGAGAAACCCCCCAATTTGTTGGCAAAGTTGTTGCTTTGCCTTTCTGTTTTAGCACGTTGCCGAAGCAAACATCTCGCAACTACCTGTTTTGTGAGCAAGCTTCTCAGCTCCTTGCCAGCGGGCTGTTGGGTCACACCCATCCGAGCATACTGCGCTCCCAGCAAAGCGCCCGGCTCCAAGCCTCCAAGTCATCACAGAGGCTGCCGCCCAGCTCGTAGTTCAACCAAGTTCCCTGGTAGAGACTGTGCTGGAAGAGCTGATACAGATCGAAGTGATCCCGACTCCAGACTCCAAATGGTCTTCCTTGCCCTGTGGTCCAAAGTGGGCCCAAGTGTGTTACGCATTCCTGGATAAGTGCTTCGACACCAACAGCGACTGAACATGTGCCTAGAAAGGAGAAAGACCATGCACTCTCTCAGAACACGCTCTCTCTCGCTCCCTCTCTCTCTCTCTTTTTGATTTAAGGCCAATAATGGCGGTTCCTTGCAGCTTGCCGCAAGGTCATTCTTCAACAAATTGAATTTTGTTGTTGAGACATAACCACACGTTTCCGCCAGTCACACAAACCAGGGTGGCTCTGGTAAGGGGACCCTGTTTTTGAGGTGGGTTCCTTCTGCTTTCTCTTCAACCGCCCACGTATGGGCAACACCCTTCAACCTTCTGAGGCTCTTGTCCAGCGTATTGTCCTGGCGCCGCCGACGCCGGCTGCGGCGGCGGCGGCCATCGCAGAACTTTGACGCCGACTCGGACTCATCCTGCGACACCAGCGATGGCTCGTCCTCGTCCTCGTCCTCATCTTGTTGACCACCTCGGAATGTTAAGCCAGAGACTGAAGCAGAGCCCAGAGAGCTCTGCAAACAGTATTTTGGCCCAGTCCCAAAATTGGCCGAAAACCCCATGGTCCCGAAGATGCCTCCGACTTGCTGGCTTGGTCACCCTGCAAGTGGCCATCTGCCTCCGTCTCCAGGGCACCATCTTCTGCCAATGATTGGGAGGCCTCCTGGAGGAGGTCGTCGTCCTCTCATGCACGACAACCTTCAAGCAGTTTCCGAGAATTTCAGCAACCCCCGCCTCGGGAGGACCGGAGTCTGAGCCATGACTTCGATTTCTACTCTGCAGAAGCAATGCGGCTCTGGCGGGGTGACAATCCTCTGGCATGGCCGCAGCAACTGCCACAAAAAGGAGCAGCATCATGGCGCCAACCGCCTGTTATGTGAAAGGGGTAAGATGAGGTAATTCTGGAACCGGAGAGCCCGAGCAGCCATCAAAGTCTTGGGTGACCTGCTTTCAAGCATCTTCCATCCCAAAGGCCCTCCGCACACGTTCGGCTCCCCCCGGACCCATGAAAAGCCGATTGAACTCATCATAGGGTCCCGGGAATGGGGGACCCAAAAAAAACTGGTCGGTTTGCTGAAAGCTGCCCATGAACACCGACTTTGCAACTCAGTTCCAGCATTGGCCGCACCTCACTGGCGCGGCCACTCTGCGCCAGCCGGAGCACCCGCTGGGTGGCGTCCCCCTGGCAAACGGCCCCAAGAATCGGAGGAACCCCCCTGAAATGCATGAACTCCCTGCCACATGGGAACTATTCAGCTTCATCGCTGTGGGAAATATTCAACCACATCCGAACAATTACACTTTAAGTGACTTTGGGGGCCACAGATTTGCCCAAGGGCATCTCAAACGCAGGGGAAGCTTGGAGGAATGAATCCAATGCCCCAACCTGCAAGTTCATCATGTGGCATGACAAAAGTGCAGCAAATGCTATCCGTGGATTGGAAGTATGCAGCAACATCAGCTTTTGCACCTTTACACCTTTACACCTTTACACCTTTACACCTTTGAGCAGGATGTCAATGTGTGGTGCTTCAAACCTTCCTTCCCTCTCCTGTCGCAAATGAGGGGCACCGGTTGTGTTATCATGCAGTCTTTCGCCAGCATCAACCCTTGCGGGGCTTGAAACGAGTCTTGACAACCTGGCACGCTATAGGTGAATCTGCAATGAATGCTGAAGTCCTGCCCACAGTTACCCGCCAATTCAACAGAAATTCATTTTCAGATCAGTCAAAATGCATAGATGCGGTGGCAACGATTGGATCTTCTTGCCAAATCAAGGCCAAGTACACACATCTCACCAGACAACACGCAGTGGAAACAAATGAAGCAAGCTGGGCAACGCTGACGCAAGCCGGCCTGTTCCTCAGAGTCTAAAACTCAAACTTGGGCAAAGATATGCCTCCAGGCATCATGTTCTCCGTGGACCGAGTGGCAGGAAATGGGCACAAATGGCACAGGTCTGACATCAAGCAAGGTAGGCAAAGGCACCAGAACAACAACACTCATTCCTGGAACTTCGGCCTTCAGTTGGCACATGATGCCTGAAGCTGGAGCTCTAGGTGCATGTCAGTGCGTCCCCCACAAGTTGTTCTTTTGTCCTTAGGTGGTGTGCTTGTGCTCGCACTACTCTCTGTACCCCGTTAAAGAACATGGAAGCTAGGAAGGTCTCATGCAAGCTTTTTGAGAATTGCCGTTTCGGAAAATCCTACTCAGCACAGTCAGCGGCATACCCAATAGGTACAGTCCAGGAAAGAGCTATGTAGAGCGACTGTGGACTTCCTGTGGCAAGTCAACCCACCCGAAACGAGCTGCAAAGCGAGGAATCCCCCCCATTGAAGCGAGTAACAACCAGTTGGCACATGGAAGCCCAAGGGTAGCCCGCGCATTCTACGGTTGTCAAGATTCTCCATGCCTTTGGTCTTGCAAAACCGGCCCATATCTTGTGCTCCGTCATGGCAGGGTCCTGACCGAATTCTCCACAAATTCGATGAGACACTCCAACAACCCCACAAATGGGCTGTTGCTCCAGAGCAGGCCACATCCCCAGCCGGGCCTCTGCCTTTTCCGAGTCTGAAGCGTCGGCCTCCGGCTAGGATTCGACTGGAGTCCAAAGCTCCGGCAGAGAGCTATTCACTAATTCCCAAGAAAAAAATAAACCAATGAATCTGGAATTCCATGTGGAGCGTCGAACCGAATGCATTACTGCATCTCCGGATTGCAAGTTGGTTGGGCGGGGCGCATGCAGAAAGTCTAGCTTTGTACGTGAGTCCGGAGTCCTGAGTGCCGGTTGGAACCGGCAGCCCCTTGGTTATATATCTCCTTGGTCCGGTCCGTTTGGGCATTCTGTGCCAGTTGCTCTTCGTGCACAGGGGAATCATGAACTGGATATTTGCTTCTCAAAAATGATCGCCAACCATCATTGACCCTAGAACCTTGACCAGGAAAGCCCACTTTGTCTCAACCTGCTTGGTGATAGTTTCGCATAACTCTCGCAACTCCCCAACCTCGACCCCCCCCAACCTCGACCCCACCACCCTAAACCCACTCCTCCAAGCCAGCTGCGAGAACCAGCGCCGTCACCTCCCGGCTCGGCAAAAGGCCTGGCAAAATGGGTTGTAATCGAATAGCGGCCGGAAAATGGCAGGCACTGTGAACGTGGCAAAAGCTGAGCCTACTCTGCCCAATCGACTGGATAGACAGAGAGTGAGAGAGAGCGAGAGCAAAAGAGACAGAGAGTGAGAGAGCGAGAGAGCGAGAAAAAGAGAGAGAGAGCGAGAGAGAGAGAGAGAGAGACAGAGAAAGCGAGAAAGAACGAGAAAGAGAAAGAAAAGAGAGCCAGAGAGAGCCAGAGAGGGCCAGAGAGGGCCAGAGAGAGAGAGAGAGAGCCAGAGACGGAACAAAGAATGGCGGTGGACTATTGTTTTTTTTGTTTTCCCGGCTGTCATGTGGTGTTTGAGGACACATTGCTGAGCGCCGTTGTGCCTTTGATTCGAATCTAATCTATACAGTGGCGTATGATTCCCATGATGTCAATGGACTAGGCTGCACCTCTGATCATAAGATGGCCAGTGCTCGTTTG